ATATTCCTAAGTGAAAGATCTATACATGACACAGATACACATTTTTCCAAGAGATAGATTGTGAAGATAAATCAAATATTAGAAATGAAGAATTCAGTATGTTAAAATACAGTGGAAAGTCTTTACAATAGACTTGGTGAGGCAGAAGAAAGAATATCTGAACTAGGAGACAAATCTTTGGAAATATCTCACACCAAAAAAGCAAAAGTACCAAAATGAAGAACACTGTTGGAGATTTATGGGATACTATCAAACAACCCAATGTACAGTTCATAGGAGCTCCCGAAGCTTTGGAAAGAGACTGGATTCAGAGAAATAGTACCAGAAAACTTCCTCATTTGGAGGAAGAAAGGCACATCCAAGTACAGGAAGCACACAGAACTCCTAATAGATGTGACCAGAAAAGATCTTCATCACGACGCATTGTAGTCAAACTTTCAAAAGCAAAACATAATGCAAATATTCTAAATTTGCAGGGAAGAAATGCCAGATTATCTTAAGATGAAGGTGAAATAAAGACCTTCCATAACAAACAGAAATTGAAATAATTTGTCACCATTCGTCCAGCCCTATACCAGATGCTCAAGGATGTGCTATACACAGAAACACAGAAACATGGTCACCACATCTCCCAGCAAAAGCACAAAGGAAATCCAAAGCAAACAATAGGAATAGTTACGGAAAAATGGCAGGGCCAAGTCCTTACTTATCAACAGTCACCTTGAATGTAATTATATATGTAAATATATCAATAACATTGATTAAAATGAAAAATAATTTTCTAGTTACAATAGCATTATATGCTTAATCTTAGAAATTCTAATGTTAGAAGATCCTAATATTTATGAAAACAATCACTTTCTGTTTTAAAGAATTACAAAGTGACTGCATTTTTAAGCATAGGGGGAGTTGCCCAACAAATATTAATAAAGCAAAAAACAAAGCACAAAGGCTGGCAGTTTCAAGTACCGGCTGCTCCACTTCCAATCCAGTCCCCTGTTCATGTGCGAGGAAGTCAGCAGAAGACGGCCCAAGTGCTTGGCTCCCTGCACACCCAGAAGAAGCTCCCGGCGATCGTTTGGTGGCCATTTGGGGACTGAACTAGCAGGTGGGAGCTCTCTCCTGTGTCTCTCTAACACTGCCTTCCAAATAAAATCATTTTTAGAAAGTGGTACATAAATGCAGTGCTATGAGGCAGACTGAAGACGCGGGGGCCGAATAGGAGGTGACCACAGGGACTTTGAGTTCCTGCAGGGAGGCCAAGGGAGGCCGAGGACCTCCATGCAGAGCGAGTGTGCGTCTGGAGAGCTGGGCGGGGGCAGGTGGTGCAGGGACGGCGGCTGGCCTGATAGACGTCACTTCATCCAAGCCTCGGGATGCCATCATGGCACTTGAGCCTGGATGGGACCTGGGGGCCTGAGTGGGTACAGACACACTCTCCTGCTCAGAACGAGGCTGCCGGGATCCCAAGACAGGATTGGGTAGACAGAGAGCAGGGAAAACCTTGAAACCATCAGTCACAAAGCCCGTGGGAATGCTGGCTGTCGCCTAAACTCATGTTGACAAAGAGCATTTTAAGGGCAGGTTCTGTCGAGAACTGGTGAGAACTCTGAAAACTGCTCCTGCTGGAGTCTGTGCTGGGCTTGGGGCTTGGGGGTCCTGGGGTCTGGACCTGGGTCCTTGGGGGTCCTTGGGGGGCCTGGGTCTGAGGAGAGGAAAGGAACTGTCTTGAGCGCAATGGCGACCTTCCTCAGAGGACACGGCCGTCGGAAGGGGACTGCACACGGAGAGAGAAGGGGGCAACTTACCCACGCCCTGCCTTCTGTCACCCTCCAGCTGCGAGCCCGAGGGAGCGTGAGCAAATGCCCGGCACAGATGAGCCCTCTGGGCAGCCTTGGGGGGGAAGCTGGCAGGCCGTTCAGTTGAGGACTTCCTTGTGCCCCTCTAGGCAGGGAAACGAGTCGAGCATCGATAGTTTCAGAAACTCCGGTCAACGTATCAACAACTGCTTCTGCAAGGAGGCAACAGGCAGAACATTCGCTGTTGCGGTGACCCAGCAGAGCAGAGAATCCCAGAGATGGGAACTGTAACCCTATGAAGGTACATGCATATATATGAAGGAAGGGAAGCCAACGTATCCATGGATGTAGATGTAGGTAAACCTATGTATGTAAATATCTCTGTCTACATCTCATACTTGGTCAGCTCCTGAAAGGTACAGAAATTTCAGAACAACTAGGCACCTAGAGATCATTTAGGATTTTCTGTTTAGTTTTGGCTTTCTTGTAGAGTGCCTTGCAACTGTTTCCGATGTTGCTTTTATCTTGTAAAAGTTTTTTCTCTTCCAATTCTGTCTTGAACTTTAGCTATTTGTTGGTCTTTTCAAGATGTCTTATCGTCTCGGACCTTGTGCACAAGCATGGCAAAAATGACCCATTTATAGCAATCAGATTCCTATTTTTGACCTGTTGGCGGCAGCTTCAAAAAGTGGCAATGACCAAGAAGAAAAAAAAAAAAAAAACCAAGACGGGAAAAAAGATTGGGATCAGCTCTGGGGTACTCTTCTACTCCCAACTGTGTAGTTCTGAGCTTGCGTCTGTTTACGGCGCCCTCCTGTAGGTAGACACTGAACCCAGACTCCTGCCTTTGGGGACGGCCCCGGCTCTGACTCCCCGCCCCCTGCTCCCTCTGTCACAGCCTGAGCAGACCAAGTGTGCACACCTGTGAGATCAGCTTTCCAGGCTAAATATCTTACATAAAATCTTTTGAAAGCAATAGGGTGTACTCACTTAAAGCTTTGAGACTGGGAGCCAACTTTTAATTTGTTCCTCCTGTTTGCTGAAAATATAGTGTTTCTCTTTCAAAGACTTTATTAGAAATCTGGTTTTCTCATGGGAACACAGACAAGCAATTTACAGCGATGCATTAGTGATGATGGTTAGAGTCAAGGGGTTCTTCAGTTATTAGGAGTTTGGGCTTTTTTTGAAAAGGGCTTTAAACTTGCACAAAGACTGCAGATTTTAAAGGCACCACATCCAAAAAGAGAAAAAGGAACCATTAATAATGACAACCATGATGACAATTAGGATGATGATGGCTACTACCATACCCCACGACCTGCCAGGCACCGTACAGATCAATTCACAGTTTCTCCTGTAAGGTTGACTACAAGTGGATGGCATGCTGTTATTAGAATTATGTCAGGAAGTCTGTTGTAAAAATGTTGATGGCAGGGGAAAAAAAGGAGACGTTGCTTTAGGTTACTTTTTGAAACCATAAATGTGGAAGAAAAAAATGGGCCTGTTGCCCAAGGACAGAGGTATAATTTTAGGGGATGTAAAAACTCAATTCCACATCCTCTTTTGCTTCTCTCTTTTCCATCAAGGAGGTTTATCTTGAGATAGAAAATGGGGAGCTGACTATGGGTAGAAGGAGATAAGCCCAATACACAGGAAACGTTTCTAAGAGGTCCCCTCATGGCTCCAGAAAATGAATTCAACCATGGGAACAAAGAACTCAGAGAGAAAGCTACCATCTTGGTATCTCCGAATACAACGAACGGTTGGAAGACTAGGAATACACATGTCTAACTTTGCTATTCCACCCAAGAAAGGTTAATGTATTTTCCCAATTTATGTCAGATTTTTACTTTTATCACATTAATGTTTTGGAAAATAGGGGAAGTCTAATAGCTGGTGACAGAATATTCTCTCTAGCCACTGTACCCGATATAAATCATTATTGCCTACAAATGCTGTAGTGATGATTAACCACCATGAATTCTTAGATTGAGTCATTTGACTTTAATACATGTGGTTGGATTTCTACTCAAATTTGTATGTTTATCATAGTAATTTTTAAGAAAGATTTACTAATTTATTTGAAAGGCAGACTCACAAAGAGAGGTCTTCCATTGCTGATCCACGCCCTAGATGGCCAGAATTGAGCTGTTCTGAAGCCAGGAATCTGGAGCTTCTTCCTGGTCTCCCACGTGGGTGCAAAGTTCCCAGTCTTGGGCCATCCTCCACTGCTTTCTCAGGCCATAGCAGAGAGCTGCATCAGAAATGGAGCAGCCAGGACTCGAACCAGCACCCCCACGGGATGTCAGCACTGCAAATGGAGGCTTTACTTGCTATGCCACAGCACCAGCCCCCATAAAATATTAAAAACAATACTACCTAGCTTCAGAATAATAACCCTGGGTCCTGTAGAACATGCATTACAAGGTCACACTTTCTGGAATAGATTACAGAAATTCCAAAGCTCAGAGACTTTGATGTGAGTAATCCATGTGATACCCTCTGCCTGTCAGAAATTTCAAGATAGATTTTAAAATTTTATTAATAGCCAAATCTAAAAATAATTAAAGATCATGATCATGAATGTGGGTTTTGAAAAATAGGATCTCATAACAAGGCCAAAGTAACTCAAAAGAATTCTTGGGCTCTGAATTTTGGAATACGAATATGATTTTTTCAAAGGTATGCCACTGTAGAATATCCATATATTTTCAACAAAAAGATAAAAATCCCCAAATACACTAAAAATAGGTTAAAATGGCATTTTAAAAAAATCCAACATTTATGGTAAATGGTTTTAGATAAAGGAATCAAGATAACTCAATGGGGGAAAAGAGTTTGGTCAAAAATCCATGCTGATCGAATATCTACACACAAAAGAATTAAGGGAGACCACCTCCCTTGCTCCATTGCACAAGCATTAATCTAGGTGGGTTGTATCCGGAACATAAGGGTTAAAACTCTATAAGAAGAAAACCTAATTCTTCATAATCTTGGGTTAGTCAATGATTTCTTACACATAACACCAAAAGCACAAGTGACTACACTGATAAACAAGACAGTATTAACGGGGGTCCCCATGTTGTACATTAGATCCCCAGAACCTACCATATAATTGCAGATGGTAAGTGAGTTGACAACTACACTGAAAGATAATTGATATTTGCAGATGATTAACATCTTCCACCCTAGCAACCACCCTCTACTTCCACTTTTCTAAAGATTTCCCCCTAGAACTGAGCTCAAACAGTGATTGTCTTTCTGTGTCTAGCTTATTTTGCTTAACATAGTGTTTTCCAGTTCTATCTAAGTTTTTATAATGAGCAGGGTTTCTTTGTTGCTGTGGTTGAATGCCACTCTACTGCATAAACAGGATAAAAGCACTTTCTTTCTCCGCTCATCCACTGATCGACACTTAGATTGTGTCCACGTCTTGGCTACTTTGAGCGATGCTGCTGTGAGCAGGGGGTGCACATATCCCTTTGAGACACTTTGTAAACATTCTCAGGAGGAGGACTGTTGGCTAACAAGGGATTTTTTTTATCTTTTTGAGGAATTTTCTTACTGTTTTCCATAACGGCTGCTCTAATTTACATTTCTACCAATGATATATGAGGCACATAATATACAACATGGTTCCTCTAGTTACTAATATTTGCATGGAATTTGATGAGAGAGAAGATATTAATTGTCTTCATACACACATGTACTCTCTCACACACACAATGGCAACTAGGTAGTGATGAATATAATCAATTAGACTATGGTAATCATTATACAATGTATCAATGTGTAAGAGTATCTCGTTGTATACCCTGGAAATATACAATTTTCATTTGCCAACTAACTTTTTTAAAGTTAAAGATTTTGATATTTAGACTTCACCCAAATTAAAAACGTTTGTGCTCCAAAGAACATAGCCGAGTAAGTAAAAGACAACCAGCAGAATGGAGGAAGTTATTTGCAAATCATCACTCTCTTTAAGGGACTTGTGGTTAGGATCTAAGAACAACTCTTAAAAGTCAACAATAAAGAAAACCATTCTCTTAACTGTACGCAGGATTTGAATAAACATTTCTGTAAGGAAGATATATGAACAGCTAATTACCACATGAAAAGATGCTCAACATCATTAGTCATTAGGAAAATGCTAACTGAAACCACAGGATACCACTTCATACCCAGAGTAGCTATAATGGAAAAGAGGCAGTAACAAATGCTGTCAAGGATGTTGAGAAATTCTGGTTCTCCTATATTTCTAGTAGGAAAACAGAACGGTTCAGCCACTTCAAAACCTAACTTGACAATGTGTGGAGATGCTTGATGTGGACTGACTGAGCAAAACCCCACCCTAAGTTATTTACCTGAGACACAAAAACACACACTCACATTAAAATGTGTGCACTGATGTTCTCAGCAGTATTATTCATAACAGCTAAAGTGTGGAAACAACACACATGTTCAGCACCTGATAAATGGATACATAAGATGTGGTGATTAATCAACAGTGAACATAATTGAAGTTACAATGTGAAGGAACCTCAAAAACATGGAGTGAAAGAAGTCCATCTCAGAACACATGTTGTACAACGTAATTTGTACAAAGTGTCTGGAATAGGCAGATCTAGAGAGACCGTAGAGCAGTGTTCCTGGAGCTCTGAGGAGGGGAGAGGAGAGGAGAAGGGGGCAGGGAGTGTTGAGTACCTACTCAAAGGTTAAAGATTTTTTTTTGTGGGGATGATAACAATGTTCTAAAGACAGACTGTGGTGGTGGTTGCCTAATTCTGCAAGTATACTAAAAACCATTTAATTGTACCCTTGAAAAAGGTGAACTCTATAGTATGTAAATATATCTCAGTAAAACCGTTTATTAAATAGCAAGTAAAAGTCAATTGTTATTGAGAAACTAGAACATCAGGAGCCAGGCTGAGTTCATAAAAAATTATGGGTTATACCTCTACCAGATTCAAAAATGCCGTTGTATTACTGCACCTGCATTTTGCTAAGTTAACTTATAAAGTCACTCATAAAATCCCATTCAACAATCAGACGACTGTGGGAATGACTTGAAATCATGGAAAGCTTGGGGCATTCAAAACTGTCAAGAATCAACTAAAATGGGGACATAGCATTATCTTTCTGTGAATACTGCACAGATTAGCATGTTTATCACTTACTTGTTTCACAAAAGACCATGGGAAACCATCACTTAATGATTTCCAGCAAAAACATGCTAAGTGTCATGGACTGAAGATCAACACCTTGAGTAACGTTCACCTGGACGCACCTAGTGAAAGAAGGAGAATGAGAGGAGATGTAACACTTTTCTGGGGCAGTAGTGGGTTACGCCACCGCCTGCAGCTCCAGCATCCACATGGGCTCTATGCGAGTCCTGGCTGCTCCACTTCCTATCCAGCTCCCTGCTCATGTGCCTGGGGCAGCAGCAGCAGATGGCCCAAGTGCTTGGGCTCCTGCACCCATGTGGAAGACTGGGATGAAGCTCCTGGCTCCCTGTTTTGGTCAGGCCCAGCACTGGCCTTGTGGCCATTTGGGGAGTGAACCAGAAAATAGAAGACTTCTTTATTTCTCTGCCTCTGCCTCTCCTTCTGTGTAACTCCACTATTCAAACAAATTAATTTAAAGAAAAAAAAACACTGTTTGCTGAGATTAAAATTTTACAGCTGCTCACAGAATCATATGTTTGTTCCATTAACTTTAAAAACAGAAAATTTAGAAAAATGGGTGTCCAATGATATAGTTTTATTTTTCCTCCAGTGTGCCTGCCTATTTCTGTGCTGAAGAGAGAGGAAGTTGAGTCTGGGGGTCGTATGCGTGTGCAACACCACTGTTACTCTTGGCCAGGCACAGGCCCCCGCAGACTGGAACTGGGCACTGACCATGACTGGGGCCCAGCTTTGTTTCCCAACAGAAGTCACTTCCTGCGCAAGGCCCTTGGGGACTGAACATTGTCATAGAGCCATAGAGCCACGCCAGCCCTGCCCTCTTGTAGCCAGTTTGAAGGAACAGGGATGGCTCTGCATGGGTTGTCTTTCCCAGGATTGCAAGCTAGCTGCTCCGCAGTGGACTCAAGCACAGTATGTTCTGGAAACCAAACACCTGGTGTTCTGACATAGGGTTTCTGGATGCGCCACGACTCACTGGCTTGTTCACTAACCCTGTTCTGTTCACCCAGTGTTTACCCAAAGAGATGTTTTCTCTTTTTTGGTGGGGAGGTTGTCAGGATATTTTTCTATGGGGGCTTTGTGTGAAGTTGCCAAGACACTAGTTGCAAAACACTTCTTTGTGACCGAGGCTGGTGCACCAAGCATGAATCACCGAGTCCATGCTTTCAACACATTAGCAAAGGGCTTTCAGATCCAATCCCGGGCCGTTCTCCCGTGAAACAGATACTCCGTGCTTCGCTGCAGGCTTCTCTGAGCAGCCTCCTCTGCCCAACGAGGCAAAGCTGAAAAGTGGCGGTGCTGAACAGGATAAAGGCTGGAGACGACATTTCCTTCCCAAAGAACATGCACGATGTGAGGGCTCTAATCATTAATTTAAGGCATTTCAGAACATCGTAATTTCAACCCCTAATTTTCTGATAACATTGCTTTCTTGAGTCATAATAACATAATTTAGGCCAAACCACATGATGGCTTTGGTTTGGGGATGGGATTACTTTGCCTTGATCCTAGAGTTTTCAGCGACTCTGGTAATAATAATGCATGCCATCGACTGTGAAAAGTGTCAAGTGGTGGTGGCAAACACACGGCGTGTAGCATTTCCAGACCTTGCAGCCTTCCTCCAAGATTGATGTTGCCATCCTTGTTCTCCATATGGGGACACTGGCACTCGGAGGGAGTCAGGACCTTGCTCCGTCTCATACCAGTTAGAATGCTTTTTAAATCTTTACTTGCAGAGGCAGAGAGAGAGAGAGAGAGAGCAAACTCCGATTCCCTCGTTCACTCCCTAAATGTCTACTTCAGCCAGGGCTGGGCCAGACCTAAGCCAGGATCCTAGAACCACGTCTGAGTCACCCAAGTACCTCAGACATAAGATGTACCGATGTCATGGCTATGGCACCTTCCAGCTGCGTCTACATAGCATACTACTGGGGCGGGTGCCAAGGAAAACCTTTCTTTGTAGGGGGGAAGACCAACCCCCACACCATCTCTTAATTAAGCTGACATTGGAATGATGTTCCCAGAAGTTGCGAATGCATCCTCGAGGATTTCCCTGTGGCATCTGCGTTGTGAAGTCACAGGGAACATCACCCATGCCAATTACTGGGGACCGTGACCCTAGGTTTTGAGTGGGAGAATGTGTCATATTCTTGTGAAAAACCATTTAGCAGGAAATAGTCAAAACTGCTGGCTGGGATTATGCCGCAAGGACATGGATGTGCCTCATTCATGGATTTTTTCCAAATGAGAGCGTGGTGAGAGGAGGTCATCATTGTATCAGATACAAGTCAGCTGTGGGCCAGGTTCTAGGCAGATTATGAAGGAATCCACATACCAGGGACGGTGGTGCCTTGGAGAGACGAGCGTCAGCCAGCCACCATGACTCTTTCATGACGAGTAAAAATCTAAAGTGAATAAAAATAGTAAACATCTACAGTGACTATCTGATATCCATCCTACATTTGTGTTTTAGGCGCACTTCAATGTGACATTTGCAAAATTGAAATATGTCAGTTGCAGTCGACATAGGCACACAAGGATCTAGGAAAAAATGTATATATGGGACTTGTTTTGCAATTGAGATATATTTAGGAAAAGGAGAAATGGAACTGGCAATCTGTGTGAGCCCACCTGTGGGGAAAGAAATTCAAGGAAAAAGAACAACACACACACTCACACACACACACATACCCCTTACCAAGTGATGGTGCGGCAGCTGAGAGTGCTCATGGTCTCAGTTCTCGCCCTCTCCCTGGGTCCATGCTGTTTCCCATGGAACTTTGCAGTCCTTGTCCTCTGGAGGCGAAGCACTTTTCCCAGAGGCTTAGGATATGGCTTTCTTTGAGCTGTAGGATGTAGAGGATACCAGCAACCTTCGCAAGATGTTAGCATGTTTCTGCGGTCTCAATGATGTGTTTCACTCACCTGGGTGGTGAGATCCATGTGGCACAGAGCTGAACCATCCACGAGCAGCCATTAGCCAGCCACCCCCCAGGACCCACGCATGAGAATCCTCCTCAGCTCACAGAGTCGCTCCGCGGCAGATCTCAACGTGCGAACACTGGATGCTGAAATTTACCCATGCAGGTTGTCTGCCATTTCTTACGGCGTGAGTGGCTTACAGTGTGTAACAGTGAGTGCTTGCCACTCCCTGTGTTGCAAGAGGAACGTAATCACTCCTGTTGTGCTTAATTTACAGCACGAGAACTGAGCAGAAGAGGTTAAAAAACGTGTTCAGGGAGGCTTCAAGCCCCACCCTTTTAAAACCAGCACACTTCATTAGCATGGAAAGTATGGGAATAATTAAGTGCTGGCTTTGGCAGGACACTTGGTTTTATTTTTATTTTTATGGCAGCATTTCACTTTTCAAGTATTTTAATCATTCGCAAGCGTCCAGTACTTGTAACTGTGTTTTAATTCAATATATGGAGAAGAAATGTGGAACTGGGCGCTCTGGCACCTGCTGCTTATCCTGCTGCCTTTATTTTTAGCCTTTTTTACATGAGCAACTGAGCCACTCCTGCTGTCATTGTCACTGTGTACATAATTGAGGCTACACTTGCTTCATTTGAAAACAGAGCGGTTTGCGTTGCTTCACGTTACAGGATGCAGAACATCGTCGTTATTACCTGTTGCATTCGACACCTGAGAGCTGGCAGGGATACAGACCTGACCGAATCCCGCGTCTCCACAGTGCGGTGATGGAGCATCAGCTTGGAGCACCTGGTCAGTTCAGATGCCAAGTTTCTCTGCACCTGCTGCTGACAGCCTTGTGCTGATGAACAACTGCCGGGCTGTGGTAGGCACTCAGGACTAGCACAGCAACCTTAAGCTCTTCCAGGAGCCTTAAGGAAACAGAGTTCGCTGCTTCTACTTAGTGAGCACAACCAAGAGACACTCAGAAACATGGGACTCCAACCCTTTAGTGGCCACACTTCTAGCTACAGGGAGCAACGACACAACATAGATCTTGCTTGCCCTGGGATGAGCATTGTATTGTGGAGACATGGCCAAAACAACAAAGGGAAAACATATCATCTGGTGTTTAAGGCAATACCTGGAGAAAATCCGTGGCACAGATCAAGAATGCACAAGGTTTTCCTAAATTTGTATGCTGTTCAGAAACACGGTTAAATGTGCACACAGTAGTAAGCACAGGCTGTTACGTTTGCTGGACCATAGGCTCCATGGGCAGACCGGGGCGGCTTACGGATGCTTGCTTCCTGGAGAAGTGTGAATGCACACAACGAAATGCATATTACTACAAAAGCAACTCACTGTGATGCAATGCAGCTAGAAAGGTAAGCTATCTTACTCAAGTGTGTGCTCCTTTAATGCATCAAGTCACCAGGCAATAAACTAGTAATAGATTTTAAGTAAGAAAGTTAAAATTGTTTCATTTTACAGAGCTGGTGTGAAGGCTGCAGTGAGACATGAGGTCGGGCGGTCATTAGTTTACCTCCTTCCAAGCACAGATGGTGCCAGCTGGAAAGAACCAGCCTGGGAGCCCTTGTCTCCACCTCCTGCTGAGCAGTGTGCCCATTCCCCGAGACTTCCTGTGAGCGCGGGTGGGAAGGAAGCCTGAATGTGAGCTTAAAGTCATCGTGGGCAGAACGGAAAGCTCAAGGCATCTTGTTACCTGTACGGTGCTGTGAAAATACATCCTGTCCACGCATGGCAAACTCACAGGCACTCTGAGTACAGCTGAGGTGTGTCCCATTCATTGAAAATTCACAGAAATGCTCAGTTGGCAGCTATCAAAATGAAGATGTAAATTTTGTTTTTCCGAATTGTTCATGTGTTTCCTGAATTTGATCATAAACTTGGGTTTATATTAATTTTTTAAAACATTTAAAAAATTATTGGATGGGCAGAGAGATTTCACAGACAGCTCCCGCTGTCCCCTCCCCCAGTGACAACAGTGGCTATGGGGCTAGGCCAGGTCTACGCATCCACCTGCGTGCAAACAGGGCTAACAGGGCTGTCCCACTTACTGGTTTTGTCAAGTCATTTAAATTTTCTCAGCTTAAATATGTTTCTATATATATGGATGTGTATTTCTTTTTCTTTTTTTTTGACAGGCAGAGTTAGACAGAGAGACAGAGATAGGTCTTCCTTTTCCGTTGGTTCACTCCCCAAATGGCCACTATGGCCGGCGCACTGCGCCCATCCAAAGCCAGGAGCCAGGAGCTTCTCCTGGTCTCCCATGCGGGTGCAGGGCCCAAGCACCTGGGCCATCCTCCACTGCCTTCCCAGGCCACAGCAGAGAGCTGGCCTGGAAGAGGAGCAACCGAGACAGAATCCGGTGCCCCAACCGGGACTAGAACCCGGTGTGCCGGCGCCGCTAGGCGGAGGATTAGCCTAGTGAGCCACGGTGCTGGCCAAATGTGTATTTCTTAGGGTTGTTATCATGATCAAATGAGGTAATAAACATGGGCAGGCCTTATAAACCTTCAAGTGACATATTAAGATACTCTTCCACTTACAATGGAACCATCAGAAGCCAAAAGTGTTTATACACAGCGCATATACCCCACCTGGGGGACCAGCAGGGCAGCACACTGTAGAATACGGGCTCCATGCTCATGGCCCTGTGGCTGCCGGGCACCCGGCACCTGCCCAATATCAGCTGTGTGTCACTAGCCGGGGAAGAGATCAAACCTGCCAATGTAATTTCTACTAAGTACAGCCCATCCTCACGCCATTGGTAAGCTGAACAATTCCTGAGCCGTCCTAAGAACTGTGTACACTCACTCACTCAAGGAAGTCAAAGAAGGGTTGAATCCAGTTTGCTCGCTGATCATCTCAAATGGTTCTGGAATCTCCCTTCACCTTCTGTTTGAGATATGGAGATGGGAAACAAAAGAGAGGAGCCAGCATTTTGGCATAGCAGGTTAAGCCACTGACTGCAATGCTGGCATCCCATATGCGTCCCAACTGTGCCACTTCTGATCCTGCTCCCTGCCAGTGTGTCTGGGAAAACAAAGGACGATGACCCAAGTGCTTGGGCCCCTGCCACCCACACGGGAGATCTGGCTGGAGCTCCTGGCTCCTGGCTGTGGCCTGGCCCCATCCCAGCTGCTGCACTCATTGGGGTGATGCAGGCTGATCATTGTTTTACCAATGGATGGGCCTGGATCGAGCTGGAGGACGTGTCCAGACTCTCCAAGTTTCCTTCATGCCCTTTCTCCTATGAGTCTAACCTCTGACCCCTGAAATGTCCAAGTTCAGCACCACAGATCGGTTTTGCCTGTCCTCGAACTTCATGGAACGAGTCCATCAGTTTGTAGACCTGGCTGCTCCCATCAGTAGAATGTCTGAGATTCACCCATTTTGTGGCAAGTCCTCATGGTTCTTTTATTCTGCTGCTGTGTAGAAAGCCCCCAATGTACCTTTGTCCCCGATTTATTTTCACTCTGAATCCCGTCTGGTCAACGGATGGTCTGAGAGTCTACTTGAGATGGCACAGTTCTGATGGCCAGGGAAGAGCAGGCACACGCAGTGTCTCGTCCACTATTTCCAATCCAGCAAGACAACGCTTCCATTTCTTGAGGGTGTCCTGTATTTTTCAGGGTCAGGAATGCTCAAAAATGCAGATGAGCCAGACTGTGGAACAAGATAACGTGAGTCTCTTTTCCCCCGTATTTTCGGTCGTTATGGTGAACAATGTCCCACTAGACCAAATCAACATGGGAGCAATAATGATCACTGTGACACGGTAAAGGGGAAAAAAACTTACCCTGGACCGTGGAATAGCAGAAAACCAGCTCAGAGTGCAGCGTGCCCTCCTCTCCGGGGAATTGGCGGATGCAGCCCTGGTTCCACCATACTAGAGCTTGTTCTGCTTATAGAAACCTCAAACGCTGGATCTGCTTGTAATTACCAAATGGAAACTCAATTCACTGGTCCCCGGGAACCAACAATGATGTCTTTCAGTGCCTTTCTGGAAATGGAGCCCCGGTGACCTGGATCGGGTTCCCCAGGTTCGGATGTTTTCACTTAGGAGCCTTCCGATACCGTGCGTCCCACGAACCACGCTGATGGTTGTGCAGCAGGGTGCACGGGACCACAGGGAGACACGGCTCCTGGCCTGGGTCCTGGGGTTTCTCTTATTCTTAAAACATTGCAAAGAAAACTTTCCCCCCACTCCCCTATTCTTTTTGTTCTGAGTTCACCTAAAATGTACACATCCATTTCTAACTGTGGATTGAATTAGATGGTAGATGACTTTTTCCCTAAGAACGTATTATAAAAAGTGTCTCTGAGAAGGCTGAGTTGTGTAATTGAGGTTGTACCCACGCCCTGCTGCTCATGATAGTATTTCACTTCTTGTTCTGCAGGAGCGGAGCTGGCAAATTGGCGCCGTTCACTCCCCTGTCCTCCTGTGCAAAAGCATCTTCTAAATACTCCTTTGATTTGTGGCAGCTCTTTGTTGTACGTCCTAAGAGCAACCTCACACCAGCTTCTAGCTACAGTATTTCAAGAAGAAAAACACTGTAATACATGCCTAACAGTGGCAACAATCGTAATAAAGTAACATTTTTTACATCCTACTCGGTGGCCATTACAAGGGCCTTTAACTCAATGGAGTCCTTGGCCACCGTCTGTGTACCTTCCCTGTGTACCTTCCCTGCACTGCCCTGGTGCAGGTGGGGAATCGACAGGAACAGCCCGAAGCTGAGCCCAAGGAGAAGCCCAGGAGCTTGGATCATGCAGGAGCCACTTCTCAGACTGAGGTCAAGCTCACTAACAGCCGCCCGGGGATGGGGTCACACAGGAACCCGGAGGCATGGAGGCCGGTGCTCAGCTCATTCGTGAACCATAGGCTCTAGCAGATTTCCTTGGGTAGAAAGTGGGGTAAACACCAGCTTTCCCCCTCAGGAACACTTCCCTGAGCAGTGTCAAATAGCAGCAGGTGCATCCCTAATGACTTCAGACTTGGGCAAGGATACAAGAGAAAAGACCGTGACCTGGAATGCCCTGGCCTCCTACCTGCACAGGGGTGCCTCGGTGGTCCACTGGAAGGCCAGGCAGCAGCCTGACTTCTCGTCCCAGGCCTGGGTCCATCTTGAGGCTCCTGGTGTCTGTGAGTTCACCCATGCTCCATGCACAATCCAGCCTGCAGGTAGGGGTGCATCAGGGGAACCCCCAGGGAGTTACACCTGTGGAGAGGGCAGTGCAGGGTTCAGGAGTCTGCAGCTTGTTGCAAGACCTGGGCACCAGGCCCTGCTGGCCCAGGAAAGCCTCAGCCCATCACAGTCCATGACTGGAGGAGGCCCGGGAAAGAAGTACCCCCTCTTGTCTGGGCATAGGGTGGTACTACACACAGCTCTCGGTTATACCTCATGATGCCCAACACCCCTCCACGCCTTCCTGCTAGTGTACTGGAGACAAGGCGGTGACCACCCTTGACCGAGGGATGTCCTTCTAAAAGACCATTCCAGAATGAGGACTTTACGCAGTCACAGGGGCAGTCTCTCCTGCCCCAGGGCTGCTGCAATGGGGATTTGCCTCTCCAATGAGCTCACTGTTCCCAGGGAAGGACATGGAGCAAAGTCGGAGCGTGCTGGTGACAGGACCGGAGTCATGGTCTCAAAGAGAGAGATGTGCGTCCTCCAGCAAACAGCTCTCCATCCGGTTCCTGCGCTGTCTTGGCCTACAGCCAGCAACCACACCTTGCCTTGGCTGCAGTCTCCCTCTCATGACCCCTCAGCAGGATCTGCTCCCACCAGCCAGGGACCAGATCAACCGTGTGGACTCAGCTCTGCTGTAGCTCCAGCCGCCAGGAGTTGTCCTGGCAGGCAGTCACTCACAGCTGCTCTCTCCCTGGCTCAGGTCAGGGCCTGGGGGTCCCCTGCACTGTCCAGCCCCAACCCGCACCTAGATTATCAGAGTAACCACACAAATCTGGATGGTGGAACACCCTGGAGGATTGCTGTCCCTGTCCCCTCAACAAGTGACAGTCTTAACAGGAGGCTGTGCCTGATTGAAAGACCTACAGTCAGATCCAGTGAATCCCCTGCCCTAAGCATCCACTGGGCTGGAACATTTTATCGACAATTGGGTCAATTTATTTTTTAAATATTTATTATTTTAAAGGAAGAGTTACAGGGAGGCAGAGAAAGAGAGAGAAAGTAAGTCTTCCATCAACTGGTTCACTCCCCAGATGGCCGCAATGGCAGGAGCTGGGCCAATCCAGAGCCAGGGGCTTCCTCCAGGTCTCTCACGTGGGTGCAGGGACCCAAGGGCTCAGGCCATAGCAGAGAGCTGGATCGGAAGAGGAGCAGCCGGGACTTGGTCCGGCACCCATATGGGATGCTGGCACTGCAGGCGGTGGCTTTACCCACTACGCCACGACACCAGCCCCATGGGGTCAATTTAAATATGGCCTCAGTATGACACCAGATGAAAAATCCATTCAAATGGGAAGACAATGCTTGTTGATTGAGGAGCAAAAGTTGGTAAAAATAAACAGACTGGCACTGTGGTTTTGTGCACCTGGGAAAGCAGCAGAGGGTGGCCCAAGTGCTTGGACCCCTGTGCCCCATGGGAGACCAGGATGAGGCTCCTGGCTCCTTTCTGGCCCAGCCCCAGCCACTTGGGGAATGAACCAGCAATGGAAGACCTCTCCCTCTCGCTGTAGCTCTGCCTTTCAAATAAAATAAATCTTAAAATACACATACAGACATCAATACACACAGAACTATGGCAAGATGAACCCGGGCATTTACAGTGGCAATTGCTGGGTAGTGACTATGTCGAGTTTTACTTTTCCAGGATACATAAAATAATTATTTAAAATTATTAGAAGATACAATGTTCTATTTCTGTTTTGGAAATTGTTACCTGTGCTGTACCTCTCAGCCTCTGCCTCCAGATGAGCTCCAGTTAGTGCAGACTCAATCGCGATCTGGGATAGAAAAATCCAGAGGGTTTTTATAGAAAAATCCAGAAGGGTTCACAGATGGATTCCCATTCATCTTTGATGCACCTGAGTTTACTGGGTTCAAGTTTAATATTACTCCTTCAGCTTTCACTGAAAGATGAAATGAAAACATCCATTTGAAGAATAATTTGCAAAACTATACTAGAAGCAATTTTCTATTAATCTATGTGAATCTCTTATATCAAGTCCCCAATCCATAAATCCTTTCTAGAGTTCAGTGCCTGGAAAAAAAATCTTTTCTTATATCAATGCTTCCTTTTCTGGACAAGACAACTCTGCAATCTATCAGATTTCCCCATTATTTTGGCTAGCTGGGGAGTCAGACGTAAATTAAACACATAATTGCATTGGCAAACTAATTACCTAGGAGCCTGAAAAAGTCATCTCCTTTCTCTTTGCACTTCATCATTATTTCACACAGATTTCATTTAGAGGCACCAATTCCAATCGCCCTTGTCTGCTCATCTGATCACTTTTTATACCATTTTAAATCCCTTTTAGCAGAGAGAATAAACACTTGGTATGCCCCCACATATCCCTGTAGAGTCTGTGCAGGCACTAGAACAAGTTGTTGATGGATTTGGGGGCACCTGCCCAGTGCACAGCTTGTTTTTGTCCTAGGGATGAGGTCCGTGGACGGGGTAGGAGCTCCCACGTGGCTGCGAAAATGGCACAGTTGGATCCAATGAGCACAGGACCAAGTGCAGGCGTTAGGGTATCTGGGATTGATAAAGGGGTTCTCTCTAGTCTTAGGATGCTGTGGGGCATGAATAACCCAACTGTTTTTTGTTTTTAATCTTTGGAAAAGATATTCAACATAAACCAATGTGAATCAGCATACTTTGCTTTTTTCTCTAAAGACAGATATTGGAACTGGAAAAATTTCCTAAGTTCTGGAACTAAAAAAAGATGCAGGAGGAAAAGGACTCACTGTGCAGAATTCAGAGAGGCAGCCTCCGTGAGGGGGTGGAGTAAGCCGGGGACTCCCATCACCTGGCCACACACCTGCAGGGCTGGGACGTGGTGGGAAACATTTAGATGAGGGGTGCAGAAGCTTTTTTCCTGCAAGGGCAGTTTGAATATTTGTAACACCGTTGGCGGGCTATGCAAGATTATCAGCTTAAAAGTTTGCCTGCTGTCCATTTAGTGAATTTCAAGTCACCTTGGCAGGGTCAGACCGAGGGATTTTGTGGGCCAGACGTTCTCTACCCCTGCTACAGACAATTCAGATTGCCCCCTCAAAGAATGAAGGAAGAGGGGCTGGCATCATGGTGTAGTAGGTAAAGTCGCTGCCTGTGACGCCAGCATCCTCTGAGTGCCAGTTCAAGTCTCGGCTGCTCCACTTCTGATCCAGCACTCTGCTAGTGGGCTAGGAAGGCAGTTCTTGGGCCCCTGCCACCTATGTGGGAGACCCGGATGAAGCTCCTGGCCCAGCCCTGGCCATTGTAGCCATCTGGGGAGTGAAGCAGCAGATGGAAAATACCTCTCCCTCCCCCTTCTCTTTAGCTCTGCCTTTCAAATAAATACATCTTTAAAAAAGAAGGAATGAAGAGTGGATCTGTGCTCATCTGAGAACCTGCTGTTCCATTGAGCAGCCTCACAGAGACAGTGATGCTTACAACAACCCTGCAAGAAGCTGCACCCATCTCCCTGGGGCTGCAGCACTTAGCCGACTGCACGGCACAAACAGAAGGTTAGCCTCCCACACATGGTTACTGATTTTATTAAATTATGATGGGCCCTCAAAAGTTCATGGAAAATGCAATTATGAGAAAAACTATGCATGCTTTTTCTAAAATTGCACTCAAATAAACACATCTTTTAGTACCCTGTGCCCACATAGTTTTTGAAGTACCTCTATATAATGAAGACCCTAGAGAGGAATGAAGGGAGACGTATCATTGCACTGTTAGAATTGTATTGATGAACTATACTGAATCAGTCCTCTTTGTATTAATACCACATTAACATGAGAAATGATGAGAATGTGTCGTAGTAATTATCAAGCATTTTACTGTGACCCTGAGACAATCTAATGTGTTAATAAGTTCTAAAAAAAAGAAGACCTTATTATTCCAGAAGAATCAAATAACAGCGTGCTGAGTTGGTCCCCTCATAGGGGCGCAGCTGGAGAATGGGCACACGGGTCGTGCCCAGGACCTGGCTGGAGCTCTGTGGCATCAGCCCCGTGCTGCCAGTCCCTGCCCTCTTGCCCCTCCCACACCAAGACTCGCGTCCTCACCGATTGCCACTCCCTTCGCGTCTGACTTTTCATGTCTGTAACAGATAACGCGATGTATTCTCAAAACAGAAACACATGTGTGATCTAATAACTTATTGGAAGTGACAAAACATAAAGACTTGGCAAAATCGAGATTGCACATATTTCAAGACTTGAGAAACAGCAAACAAATCACACAAGAGCTGGAGAACAGGGCGGTCTTTTCTTGGATCCTGTGTTCTTCTCCCGAGATTTCTGCGAGGGTCGACTGTTAACACGGAAAACACAGAAATGCCACATATGTACTCACATATGCAATAGAATACATACAAGCATGTATTTCCAAAACAGTGATTTAAGAACGAGACAGCAAATGTTTTAGTTTTCTAGAACTGCATTGGATCGTTTCTATGTTCTCTCCTTGTCAACTTTTAAGTCACAGTTGATCAAGTGAGTTTGTATCAAAAAAGCAAACAAGTCCAGAAATGAATGATCTCACTCTCATTAGACTAAGGCAGCTGCTGTGCAGAGGAACGCAGACCTAATAGCCTTTAAGAAGTATGTGAGGATGCGTATACTGATGAGGACGCGTGGCTGTGGTCAGTGAGTGGATTTCCACTTACGTGGCACCGTTGTTCAGGTGAGACAATCCGTAATATGTTGGCTACAGTGCTTGGCTAGGATGTGAAATCCATACGAAGGAGGAACGGTGTAGCGCTTTTTCTTAAAAGAGACAAACATTTGGAATTGAGGAACATTTCTCGGAAGCCTGCCACACACCCAGGGCCAGGTAGGCACCTCTCACTGCCGTTTGACTTGCACAATAAGCCTATCTGGTGATAGGACCTCCATTTTTGACAATGAGAAACCTCAGTGGCTAAGCAAAGCACAATGACTCCAGGTCACACATCGGTCAGTCGTGGAGCCAAGATGACAATGCAGGCCCGCCCAGGCGGAAGCTGCTTTTTCACTCTACCCCAGTTAGAGGCAAACACAATAACCTTTCAAGAGGCCCTGTATGTGAGCGGTGCTCAAGGCT